AAAGCAAATTTTTCCTTCGATATTTAGCTGTTGGCCGTTCACCTTCACCGGATTTCACAGTTGCCTCTACCCCATCAACCTGCCCCGCTTACGAAGGTAAGCGACAGCTTAGTATAACAATTTCCTGCGCAGGCAGTCAGGATGAGATTACCGCCGATCCGAGTACAAGTCAACAAACCGTACCCCATCATATTGCACGTGCACTTGGTACTGGTGATCTTTTTCCTTACCTTTCATCGATAGGTTGTCGAAAGGGAGCCGTCGAGTTCCCCTCAACCAGAGGTATTGTGCAGAATGGGGTGCCAAAGTAAGCTATTCTGTGCAATTTAAACTCCCATTTTCACTTTATTGTAGCGTCGACATGGATGCTAGCCCAGTAAAGAAAACGCTGAGAAGGAAAAAACTTGTTCAGATAAAACTCTCATTCAATTACCTGACAGTAGGCTATATGTTCGCACTACTATTATATTTTAGCCGATGAATACGACTTTGTGTAATGATACCCTGCATGGGACATGCGCGTCCAAGGCACGAATATAGTGAACAACGCTGAACCTTTTCTCGCTGCTTTCTGTTAAATACAATGCACAGTTGTTATATCGGTTTCTGCGCTCCTTTGGGATTAAAGCATTTTAAACAATTAACTGGACTAGCGGCACGTTTGCTGCCAGTGTAATAGGACCCAGGTGGGTTGTCATAGCACACGGCTACAAGGCTCGTGCTCGTTGTATATAGGCTCCATCAGTGGCACATTTGGTGTCAACGTAATAGGACCCAGGTGGGTTGTAATAGCACACGGCTACAAGGCTCGCGCTCGTTGTATATAGGCTCCATCAGTGGCACATTTGGTGCCAATGTAATAGGACCCAAGTGGGTTGTAATAGCACATGGCTCCAAGGGTAGTGCTTGTTGTATATAGGCTCCATCAGTGGCACATTTATTGCCGAGGTACTTGGACTCAAGTGCGTTGTAATATCATTTGACTCCGAGGATTGTGCTTGTAGTATAAAGGCTCCGACAGCAGCGCACTCATTATATATGGTGAGGTAGCATCAAATAAAGCATACTGTTTGACTAAAACTCATCCTAATTTAGTTCCGTTTGGACGAGGTTTGGTTATTTACAATCATTTAGGGCTTGGCTTTACGGATACTTCATTGCGTACTTATAATTAGTAGGTAGTTTTCCGCTTTATGCTCACGATATTTTAACCATGATGCTTTCGTTTCTGAAGTTCAGGGTGCGTTGGAAAATATTTTGGGTGACCAAAATGTCGTCCATAAGGTGTATATTTAGACTGCTGGGGGCAAAAAGCCTGGTCATTTAGGGCGTTACAACATTCACACGACGGCACACGTTTTCGCTGCTCTCGAGGAAGGGATGCATATTCCGTCAACGTTACGCGGTAATCGATTACAGACTTGTAAGCACGTACTACCACTGTGACGAATTATTCGTCCCTCATGGTGCTCTAAATATCACTTGCACTGACAGAAAGTACGGTTAAAAAGAAAGATTTTACGCACTAAACAGCGCTGATAATGATTTAGAACATTAGTTAACAACATCCATGGACATATAAAGACATTTATCTTCATCTCCTTTTGTTTCACAGCGAGTGGCCAAAAGCACGCTTCAATGGAAGGGCTCTCTGTCCATATGTATGGATAAAGTGATAATTCATAGGTACCATAATCCTGCATAAGTTTCTTATGATTTCACAAAATCTTCGCTGTTAAAGAAGCCACGTAAATATGTCTGCCATGATGTATCAACTGCTACGAAAGTCACAAACCCCTAATGTTACATAGTTCCTTATCTTAATAACGCGTTTCACCTTACAATTCCGAGGCAGAAAATTTCGGCACAATAGGAGACTAATTAAGTAGTCCAGGACAAGACTATCAGCACACGGCAGGTATTTTTAGTAAATGGGCTCAGAAATAGTATGCTTATATTTTATAACTTGTAGTGAATAATTTCTAATTTAGTTACCAATATTGCATTAGTTTTACGCATGTTTAAGGCAAATATGGCTGCATGCATTACACACTTGGATGTTTCACCGTCGATACGTAGACACAGTAACGCGAGTTGAATATTGGCACTTTTGCAACACAGCGTGCACAGCTGATTGACTGGGCACTAGTTTGCATTCATTTCAAAACCGTTTTGCTGCACATCTCGTCTGTGTTCAGTTTTGCGTCTAACAACCTCTAGGCAGGACGCCGAGGAGACGCATAAAAGATAACCCACGGACTATTAACGGACGCACGCGCCGAGAAACTTGTCACAAAAGATAGCATTTAGGGTATAGCTGGCGGAAATGCAATGTTTTTAACGGACTACCAAGACTGCAAAATAACTAAATACAGCATCCATGAAAACAGGAGACCTAAATTTGACTTTTAGCATTACAATGCACATACTGTGCAATATTGAACATACGGGAGTGGATATTTTTTGTCTAGTTAATTTACCAAATTTGCAGGGTTTCGTTAACCGTATTTAGAAGCATTCGAATCGGCGACAAGCAGTTGATAGTAATTTAACACACTAAAACACATCTTTGAAGGTATACCAGATTGCAATGACAGAGTCTAGAGGTCAATTGCTTCACTCCAGTCTAAGCAATCAACAAACATCGCCATCTTTAAAGTGCCCTGCGACCACCGGATAGCGTGTTTCACCGCCTGGCAAGCGCTGTCCTTATAAAAAGCCACGAAGGTCTGCTTAACAACACTGTGACAAAATAGATGTCACCAGACAGTAGATACATTCACTGCCTCTTGCCTTACCGAAGGACCTCATCCATTTAGCGACCGTCAAGCACCTCAAACATTTCATCTGATCTTTACTATTTTGTTCAATACACCGAACAACTCACAAATGCACAGTGTTAGTAACAACTTTTATTCAACCTCATGACTTACACATGCACACACATACATAATACACATACATACACATATCCAGTGTGTACTGGTTAACTTGTAACCTTTCTGTATTACCATGATCATGCCGTTAAAGTCGTGTCTTGCATCGTCGAGAGTACATCATTTTTCTTACTTATTAAGGCCTTACTAATTGCACAGCCGTGTACCTCCGCACCGGCACTGTACACCGGTCACTCCAACTTCCTCATTCTGACCTGTGTCGTAGCACACAGCGAAACAGTAAAAAGCTTGCCATTAGCTACGGTGGTAGAAGCTAAAGGAACCTGCTAGACCGACTCAAACACACACTCATGGACAATTCTGAAGCGTCAGCGCAAATGGCAGACACACGGCCTATGCATTTACGGACGACGTTACAGCCTCAGACCCGTCACTGCGCTCCAACAAAACCTACAGCGACAGCCACACGCACCCCTACTCCACTTGCTCTCCATCGATGTGGTAGAGAAGGTAAACTATCAGGTCCTTTCTCAGACCTCTTTCGCATTGTTCTTTTCCTTGGAGTAGAAATGAAAATGAAATGTGTCAGCTTATACGCCGTAACGGCGCTTCGCTGCCGCGCGACCACCACCAGTCGCGCGCGGGCTGAGTATAACGCGAGGACGCCCACCCCTACGCGGATTGGAACCGGTGACCTTATGGTTGGAAAGCAAACGTGCCGACCACTCGGCCACCGGCCGACACTCGGCCACCGGCCTGAATATCACTTCAAATGCTACAGAAATGATTAAAAAGATTTGCTTCCACCCAAAAAACAAAAGCTTTTGAAAACCCCAGAAAAGCTTCGCTTTTTTCTCAGAATTTCCCTTTGTGTAAACAAATTTTGTTCGCCGCTGTTTTCATTTTTCATTTTTTTATGTACATGCTGACGGTTAGTTGCTCCTTGGTTTCAAGTTTTGATGGATCCCGAAACTCAACTCGCCGCATAGCGAATATTTCGCTCAAGCAGCTACGTGAACATTATGCAAGGTCCTCCAACAAACCTTAATTCTGTTTCGACACCATAGGGATGACACGAGAAGGCATTGGCATGGATCTGCTCACGCTGGTGTTCCTCAGCAGCTGCATCAAGTTTCACCACTTTGTCTTACAAAAGGTTAGCTGGCGACGGACATTCCAAAACTGATCGAAGGAATGCTGCAGGGCTATGTAGCAGTCTGGAGATTCGACAGATGACTGTGTAACCTTCCAACTAAGATTCTATCATTGTACACTTAGGCGGGCTGTAAGTATTTTCGAACAGCTTGCACAGGACCATTGCTTGAGTCAAACGCTACATTTGCTTAGCGCTCCATTAATAATGCGATCGATGGACGAGCGCAAATAAAAACGCCCTACGCATGTTAATGGCCAAAACTTACAAGTTCGCTAAGCTAACGAGCTCCCATTGAAAGGATAGCTATGTACGGGAAAGCGAGTATGCAACCGCAAAAGGGCAGACAGCCCTCGGATCGCGTGCCAGATGTGTATATATAAAACTGTGGTCGAAATGCCACAATGTACTTGCCTTATTTTCCTGTGAGCAAATGAAACTATTACGTGGCTATAGTTTATTTAGTAAACGGGAAAATCGCAAGGTCGTTACAATGTACGTTTTGTGCGGAATCATTCGATTTTGTTTTCGTTTCGTTCTCCCTAGCTAGTAATGTTAGCGGTGCCGCTTTTTCTAGAGATTAACAAATAAAAGCTTTACTGCAATGAGACCTGCTTTTCGCGATCGCTAACTTCGCTCACGTCAAACGTGACGGGGCAAACTCTATGTTAACAAAACATTTTAGAGATTACTCCCACAAACATAGTAAACACGAGAGTTAAATACATTTGCAGTCGTGAAACATTAGCAGTTTCCGAGCCATGAACAAGGTTTACTTAGTGAAGTCCAAGTTGTTCATCCGCTGTAATGGTCCCAGTGCGCGTGAGCACTTTTGTGCTGATGGCTAGCTATAGTTATCATGTAAAAATGTACGCCAACAAATATTTATGAACGCTGAACGTTGAAAATGTCATTGCGGTTTACGATAATTTTGTTTGACATAGCATGTCGTCCTTGAATGCATGACCTGCTTATAAATTCAATGGTGTTTCCGTGACCTTTTCAAAAAGTATCTAATCGTCGCAGATATGCTCGTCCCCGCGCTTTGTCTTTTGAGTGCTCTTCTTTCATTTAATTATGCAAACGGTATTTCATAAGTAATTTATCCTAATTTATGTGAATTAGAACTTCGTGTCATCACTGTTGCTACCGATGATAACGATGCATTGGCAAGATTTCTGAGATCTGCAGAACGTTATCTATTTGATGTGAAGGTACTTATATGTTATTTAATCCTTCTTTTAGGTACTTGGACTTGGAACTGTATGGAGTGGTGGTGACATGGCAAAGTTTGCAGGAGGCGGTCAGAAAGTCCGGATGCTCAGAAACTACCTCGATACACTAGACGAAAAAGACGACTCTTTGATTCTCTTTGTAGACGGGTAACGAACCGAATTTTCTCTGTTTTTATTAACCTGTTCACTCTACGATTGTTTTCAAGTGGTTACTTAAAGGCACGGTGCTTCATCAAAATGCGGCGTCTGTTACATAATTCTAAACTTTTACACCATTCTGAACAAATTACTTTTATTGCAGCGTAACTGCATGCTTTATATTTACCAGTTTCATCAGGATTTACATAGCATGGTTTTGTTTCCTAAGGTTTGCTTTGAGTCCATTTTTAAAACTGATTCACCTTATTAATCCGTGTTATCTACGAGGTACAATAAAGTTATTTCATGGTTGTTAGTAAAACCAAATATCACCGTCACGGGTTTGCACAGTAGGCTCAAACACGTCAAGCTCCTAATATCTACTAGTGAATGGCCTTTAGGCTTACGTATGAATACAGATGTCTAACTTGCAAATTTCGTGTTAAACATGCTGTCATCAAGAAAATGTAACGTAAACTATGATTATTCATGTGTATCCTAAATTTAATATTGCCACGTTAGTATTTCAGCATGTACTTCATTAAGTAAATTATGTAGTTTAAAAATAAAAATATTTTTAAATTATTTGTTTCAGTAGATTTGCACTAAGGAAACATTAATTTTAATTAGCTTCAGCTGAGACTTTATAATCTGTCACATACTTTGCTAGCCATGAGAAAAGTCAATCCATTTTTGTGTCGACTGTTTAGGTAGATGGCGGGTTACACTGCTGTCCTATTACTATTACTGTTTACGTGGTACGTATAATTTATGTAAAAGCTCGTAGAGGCCTCTCATCATCTTTAACTGTCTGTAAACCAAAATGTGCTTATTATTTAGCTTACCTACTGGCGAGGTCGAGTGATAGTAAAGATTTTCTAACTAGATGCGTATCCCGATTACAAATGTTATTAACTTAGGTTCACCTGAATCTATATAACATCAACTTTTTACAAAGATGAGACATTTCTTACCACTTGCGTCTAGTGAGGTGAAAAGAAGCTGATAGGTCAGTTTTAGCATTTACACCCTCACTGTGGGAACTGGATGCTAATATCAATAAACATACGTGAAGTAAAAATGAAAAGTATGCATAACTGTCATTGCAACAACCGCCCTCGCAATACGTTTATGACTTTCACTTACACAACAAGCAAGCGCGATGGATAAGGCAATACAGTATTACGATACAGTGACTTGTGGAAGGAGATAAATGTTGAATTTTGAACTCATGGAAGTGAAAATGTTTTTGAAAGGGCACTATGAAAGGGATAAAAAGGATCAGCTAGTACCTTTGAGGTAACATTACTACAGACATCAATATGTCTAAAAATGATCAAATCTACTGAATAATCTATAGAAAAGCCGCTGCATCTAGTAAGGTACTCTATGTATCGTACCGTTAAGATTTTTTGAGACAGTGCGTTGAAGGTAACGAGATAGCAGTATAAGCAATGGGGAATACTGGAAGCTGTCACCAACTTTCTACTTCTACTTACTTACTACTGTTATTTTTTATTACTAAAGCACGTGGTACTGAAAGCATCTTAAGTCGTAGGGTATAAATGTTTTTTGACTTTTTGGAAAGTTTCGCAGTGTATGAACCAAGAAAGGTGCTGGGGCCGAAAGACGCTGAGATAGTTGACCTTGGAAGACATTAGTATAGGGTTTTGTTTACAATAAGAGATAAGAAGGTATTTTGAGATACTGCAACGTATCGCTGCAAATAAAAAATATTGTATCACTGCATTCAGTAGCACTAAGTTTGCTTGATTACGATGAAGACCACTCCATCAGATCGTCTAGCTTGCGTTGAAGTGATAAGGAGTTCTGAAGAGCAGGGACCATATATCTTAGCACACCGTTGTCAGCATATTTACATCCTACAAATGGAATAAGTATAGTGTGACGTTCAACATATTGGGAAATCAGGAAAGGTGATAAGAACACCACCTGCAAAACACAGCAATCTGTTAGGAGAACAAGGACTTCTTACCGTTTAACTTTGTGTATTGGTTACGATAAGTAAGCTACTCGCAACAGATTACACACACCCGGGAGGACTCCGTTCTCTGATAGCATGTTAAGCAACATCAACCTATCCGGGCTTCCAACTGCATTCATAGAAGTAAGGAAGAGAAGCCGTACGGATTTGCATTCTCGGTATAATTCAGACACTATAGAGTGAACGATAAATGCCACTGCATCAAATGTAGAGCGCTTAGGTCTATGCTTATTATGAGGTGTTAGCTGTAAGCCGTAACGATGCAATCGCTACAACGCGACCACTATTAGTCGCGCGCGGGCTGTACACCACGAGGACGTTCACCCATACGCGGACTCGAGCCGGCGGCCGGGGGGTGCGCAGACCACGCGGTCACCGGCTGTGGTCAATACGCAAACGTATATACTGTCTTTAAGAGTGACTATAAACATATGCTGAATTAACAGTTTCTCGAAAACTTAAGAAGTACTGTTTGACACAACAGCAGACAAGACTTTTGAGATTCATTTTTAAAACTGGGGTTATAGTGGCCGATCTCCAAATGTCCGGGATCACACCCATAGTAAGGCATTTGCTAAAGTGAACTGTTAAGGGTAATGTGAGAAAATCCGCACACCGTTTTTTAGCTACTGGTGATAGAACATCCGGACCACTAGATTTGTTTTATTTTACTCTTTTGAGTTCCTAGTGAACGCTGCTTTGAGGTGGCCAAATGTTTAATGGCATATTATTTACTTCGACGATATCCTTCAATTGTACTAAATATCTAAAACATTCTGCATCTATAAAAATCTGTAATAGTTATTAACTATAAACCATTATGTTAATGAACATCTAAGATGTTTTCAAATTGTTTTATTTAGCTGTGCTTTTTACAGATTGTAATTTGGCTAACTATTTTAAAAGCACACACTAAGCATCATCCGTAAACTCTTAACTGATGTTTCTTTCGCTACCAATATTGTTTCTGATATTAAATTCTGTAAAGCGCATGTCTTTGTATGTTTGTAACACAGTTTGAAAAGATAAATGAAGTGTTCAGACTTACGTAAGTGCACTCTTTGTTGGTACAGTCTTACAAGCATATGTATATAGGCAATGTAACCTTTACTCCATTTTAGTATCAACGTAGTATAACTATGCATACAAGTTAGTGTTTATTTAGAATATGAGGTAAATATAAAAGTAAGGCATATTTCCTGCTTATCTAATAAACGCGCCTTATTGCTGAGGGACTGCGATATTATATCGCTGTATTCGGAGCAAGATGTAGTGTTTACACACGTCTGTTGATGCTACTCAACAGTGCTCGTCTAATTTGTTTTCCCTGTTGCTATCACCTCAACATAACTCGATTATTTGAACTTAAAGTTATAACTTTAACTTTTGGATTGTGCTTGTGTGTGACAAATTTGCTTATTTACACTCAAGTTAGAATATCTGTTGCCTAATTTAACACTTGTCGAACTTTAAGAACTCGCAGTTATTGTATATAAGAAGGACGATTTAAGAAACGGAAGAAGTTCAGTGGACTAGGAACTGTTTTCATTTAAGCACTTTATTTAGTCTAACAGGTAACTTACTTTGGACTACAATTTCCCTGGGTTCTTTTATATTTGCATTCCTAATTAGCACGCCTTTAAACCAAGTATTATTATTGCCTTTAGATATGACGTGGTGTTTACGGATAAAAAGAACAGGCTACTTGAAGAATATCACAAGCTTGGTTCAAAAATTTTGTTTGGAGCGGAAGATTTCTGTTGGCCACTAAGAAATCTCGAGGTGGGTTTAGGAGACATTCTTTACTTTCCTGTGTCTACAGTTTGCAACGTTTTGACTATGTATTACTTTTAAAGCTGTATAACTCAGGGTTTGCCTTATTTTGTGGGTAAACTTCTACCGTTGGCACAAACCTTTAACTAAAGCAAGATACTACATGTGCTCCGCCTTTTTGACCTATCATAAGTTTGATACACGTTTATCAAAATAGTGCGCTTACTTGTAAAGCCTTGAAGCGTTGATAGTAAACCGTTTAACCCTGAATCAGTTATGACTTTCCTTCTCGCTCTTATTTTTCTACTTACCAGTAAGCTAAGACCCTCTATAAAGACTTATTATGCACTGAAGCTTTGCTTTGTAAACGTAGTGACAAGTAACGGAACCATGTACGCATGTATGCACCAGCCTTCGAAATTGTTGTTTATTACTCAACTGGATGGCTTAAAACTATAAATCTTCAAAAATCACGGGCAATGCTGATTTTCAGCAAGGCAAATATTCTCACTGCATTTAGATGATTTAAGATCAGAAATCAGTTCAGGGATAAGAATTCTTTTCGGTAAACGCTCTTCAGACCCAAAAGTTTACGTAACACTGCTTGTGTAGTGTAAGCGTCAAATCGGGCTAGGATTGATTTCTAAGGTGTTTGAACGGTCAAGCTCGATGACTAAATGCGGCTACAGATGGCAAGAGAAGTGCACCAAAGGAAACTTAATACACAAGCCCCAGCAGCCTAAAGTAAATAGATAAGGTCAGGAAGGGAATTAAGTAACTATGTCATTTGGCCACGATAGTAGTATCGGCCGTATGAATCTTTTTGTACACCTAATTCCGGCTTCATAGGGTAGATGTAAATAGCCTCGGCTAATCTTGTCTTGTAGGTATACCTGTTATCCACTAATTAAACGTATTTTCAAACTGGTGCCTTTCACCAACACTATAATAGCTGCTACTTACCTTTTTGCAACCAACCCACCGGTTTAATTTTAACTCTGTGGTCTATATCACCAAACATGGTAAAACGTTATTGATCTTTCCCACGTAGCAAAAACAAGTAAGAGTACATTAACTGTCAAAAGTTGCCCTTTTATTTACACACAGTGCAAAAACATTTTTCGTATTATTGATGGTGCAAAGATCTGTGCTCACATCGGGTATTAGCGTCCGCTGTGAGCTACATCAAATTCCAATTAAACAGCAGTATAGTCGACTACATAAGCGTGAGTCGTAAGGTGCAATCCGGTAGGGATGGACTGCATACTCCTCCAGGAGAGCTAGTCAGCTTGAGGTCGGACATGAAGCCAAGATACAACCAGCTCAGCAAATTATTTAGTTAATGCCACCGGTGTGGTGCCATTAGGTAAACTCTCGCTGCTGGTGTTCGGCAAGAGGAGTTATACCTTAAATACCTAGAACTGTGTTAAAAGACAAGAAAACGTATGTTAGTAACAGTTTGAGTGTTGGCCATGCGGTAGGAAGTTGCACTTGGCAAATTGCTTTTAAGTGAAGATTGTGTCTAGCTTGAATTTTGCGCTACACATGTTCAAAACATGCCTGCTATGCACCCATATTTCTCTTGCGTTTTAGGTGCATAGTGCGGACAGGTGACCTACTAAGTAAACTTTTGCCTTAAGATTTTTCAACGTTGTCTGTTATGCTTCTACTACCGGTGTACTCACAGTTCGCTATTTTAAAGGCCACTGACAGAATAGTATTCGGAAGTCACCTGCACTATTTTGCCCCATTGCATAGTGATGTTGCCTTCCGTACTCAGCTACCCGTACCAACGATGGATGTACTTTGATTGTACGCTGTCTTTTGAAACTGGTTGCTAACGCGGATAACCAGTACTTACCTTACTTTAACCTTCAGGTTCCATCTTGAGTCTACCTGCAGGTCTGGTTTGCAACCATAAGGTCACCGGTTCGAATCCGCGTAGGGGCGGGCGTCCTCGCGGTATACTCAGCCCAAGCGCGACTGGTGGTGATCGCGTGGCAGCCAGGCGCCGTTACGGTGTACAGCTAGCGATTTATTATTGTTTTATTTACCTGAACAAGACAGAAGCGCTGATCAAATCAAGTGATCAAGTGACTGCTTTCCAATGCCGGTGGTGTAGGGTATATGCTTCTCATGACCGTATACATATACAAATATATAGTAGTCTAATTAATAAACGTAAGGCCATAAAAACTATGGAAACCAAGGAAAGGAACAGTTAAAGCACAAATGGTACTAAACATTTAGTTCTTTTTTCATACGCCGTTATTTACTTATATTTTGTTAGGTTCAATCGTTGAAGTATATAACGTGTAACTGAAGACAATTCTGTACACAATGCTTGCATCGATTCCGTTTGCGGGCCGTATTTAAGCCCAGCTAGCTCCCGGCACTCCTCATCCTTGGGTCCTCATCCAGGAATCCAACAGCAACTGGACGTGACGTCAGAGATTTTATGTGCTGTCACAAAATGGATGGCCGACCACAAGCATTTGATTCTAACCCGGGCTTGCACCTGCGAATAGGGGGCGACACGCAAACGCTCAGGCACCATGCGTAAGACGTGACCTGGCCATTATAACTGGCGCAGCGGAACAATGTTGTCAGAAGGAATACTCGCATCCCCAGGGCGCGGCGTCTGACTTCATCATCGTGAAGTTAGTGTTGTCACCGCACACGATCGATCCTTCTCAAACCACCATTGCGGAAGTTGGAAAGATGACGCATGTCTTACAAGCGAATTGGCCAGGACTCGCTCATATACAACAAAACTGAACGAGCTGAGACACTGTAAAGGCGAGCGTTTGCCGTCCCAGTGGCAATTCAAGTGTCGAGGATTGATAAATGCTGACCAGGCTTTACCGACACAGGTAGGAACGGCCTTGATTATAGTGTCGCCAGTAGAAACCCAGCTACTAAGCTGAATAAAAAATCATCCACTTGTTCTAGCTCTGCATCTACAGGGCTAAGCAAGCGAGTGGGTATGAGTGAATCCTAGAGCAATAGGGTGCACTTCGACGGAGCGGAGCTACGCCATACCTAAATGCCTCAACCGCCAACGCATTCAGAAATATTTGTAGGCTATGCGGATCATCACCAAGTGAGGTGATATGATCAGCATAATCTAAATCAGTCACGCTCACCCAAGAAAGGTTCTAAGCCGAAAGTTTGGAAATCTACAGTTTCAGACAACACGTTATAGCTTGTGCAGTTGAAGAAGAACCGTGATTTAGGGCAGCACAGTCGCACATGGCTATTAACAGTGAGGAACGAAAAAAAGCTTGCTGCAAACCACCACTGCGCCTGAGATATGAACATAATTTGCTGGTAGGATGGCAGTGTACTTCTCTGACATTCTTTTATTTAGCAAGCAGCGCTATAAAGCAGGTCAATCAACTGAGTCAAGCGCAGCCTATTTTCAAGAAATGCAAGGATAATGTGCCTGTGGTAAATATGGAAGTGTACGAGGAGTTGGAGGAGCATGAAGATTTGATCCATCTATCAACGCCGGTGATGCAAACCAGCTTGTTCTTCACGATAGTATCATTCAAGTATTGGGCATAGTCTACGAAGCAGAATGGATGCCAATAGCTTGGAGCTAGCCAAAATTTGACTAATTTCTCCATGACTGACAACAAAGTGCGAACGGCTTTCTTGAGATTCAAAACAATAACTGATTAGCCACTTTTTTCATGCTGGATTTTAGATAACAAAGAGATCAGGTGCCTAGCGATTGCCACGCCGCCCGTCCGTAAACTTAAGAATCACAAGCCTGCCTTGTAACCTGAGGGTGCGGGTACGGACAAGGCGACCGTCGCAGTATCCTAAGCCCACGTGCGACTGATGGTGGTCGTGCGGCAGCGAAACGTCGGTACTGTGTACTCTCGTATTGATGATGCAGGTTGATGATTGCTACACCGCCGTGCCTGTACAGCTGCGGAGGAAAACAGTCTGGGCCGGGAGCTTTGAGTCGCTTTAGGTGCCGAAGCACAAGACACTTATTTCTCTAAATTGATCCAGTGAAATGAAAACGTGTACTGTGGGTGTACTGTACACATTGATGGATGGTGGTGGCCAGTTTAAATGCGAAAGAATGTGCTCGGCCCAGCAGTCTCAATGCGTTCACAGATTGGTGATCGTGGCCTCAACTTGCTCACAAATAACGTCATTGACACCAGGCTTCCTGGGCCAGGTTTCACAACTCTACAATAGGGGTGAACGAACGGCCGCATGGCAAACCATGTCTTTCGGCGCGATTGATGGGGCGCCTGAACAGCAAGTAGCGGAGGTTGACAGAAACGCCTCGATCTTTCGGTATACAGTTGGTGACCTCATCTTCGATCCCTCGAGCGCTAACACAACTGCCTAGCTACTTGCATTTCTGAACGACTTCTAGCTGATTACTACTAAGAGTCAGCGCAGTGGTGGATCCCTGCCAATCGTGAAGGACTTTGCATTTCGAAGATGCAAAGCATAACCAAAAACGATTGACAACCAGAGTGGATTTGTCCTGTTCTGCTTCGCAAATTTGAGAGCTATTACAGATAAAGGCTGTGTCGTCTGCACCTTCTATTAAAGTTGCTCAGCAGGAAGCAGCATCACACCTTGTAGGTCGTGTCCATTGTAAGCCGTTTCCATGAGTCCGTCAATGGCAAAGTTAAAGAAGAAGAGTGCCGGCGGGCAAACTTATCTTACACCGCTGGAGATATTAAAGACTGACAGTTTGACCATAAACCTTTACCGTATTCGAACTATGCGCGTACAGCTCTCCGAGAATTTCTACTTATTCATCGAGCACACCTTCCTGAGCAGACAGCTTCAAAAGGCAAACCGATTCACCGAATCGGAGACACCTTTGATGTCAATGAACATGTTGGGGCGCCTGGGATACTATTCGGTAACAATGGCACGTAAGAGAAGTGGCAAACATGGGACATTAAAGAAGTTGGTGGCAGTTGAACATAACGTGTATTGTACAGGCGAATCAATAAAAGCATATTACGATA